GAACTGCATTGTGGTTCGGTCGCGTCGCTTTGCCGCCGTTGCTTGCTTCGAAAGTTGAAAAAAGTTCAACTTTTCAAGCGTCGACGGAAGCGCCAGCCAATCAAATCATATGCCAGTACAAGCTCTAGCCAATCAAACCGCTGCTTGTGTGTCCGGGGCGGGAGATTAATGTGATTGGTTGTTAGTCGCACGCCAGACACGCCCACCGGCAAGTTTAAACACGACGCTGCCATGTGGACGCACCGTAACTCAAGTAGAAGTACAGACACTCGTCTTTAAAAATGCTCTGGTAAAAGTAGAAGTACTGACTAAACTTCTTTACTCAAGTAAAAGTAAAGAGGCTTTGAAATGTACTTCAGTAATGGACAAGATCATATGCGACTTAGACACTAGGTTCCGCACCACTCAATGTATTGTGGAAGAATTTTCTGCTGTTCTGAAAGTTGGGCAGATTGCTGAGGATAAAGTCGCTTCTGTTTGCCAACCACTGATCAGGAAGTATTCAAGAGATCTTACACCTGAGTTTGAAAATGAAGTAAGACACCTGAACACTGTGTATGCTGCCACTTTCCACACTAACTTGTCCCCTCTTGGTCTCCTGAATGCAATTCACAAGATGCAGCTGCAAAGCATTTTTGGAGAATTGTGCATTGTTTTACGTATATTTTGCACACTGCCTGTGACTGTTGCAGGAGGTGAGAGAGCTTTCAGTAAGCTACAATTGATAAAAAAAAACTATTTGAGGTCCACTATGTCTCAGGACAGGCTTTGCAGTCTTGCCATGCTGTCCATTGAAAGCCAGTTAGCTAGAAAGCTGGACTTCAAGGACTTAATCAGTGACTTTGCCTGTAATGCCCCTTTCACACCAACGCGTTTTCAGCTCCGGCTCGGAGCTGGAGCCTGAAAAGTGCCGGTTTTTCCTGTTCACACCGCAGCGGCGCCGCCTCTTAGTTCCGGAATCCGGTTCACTTCCAGCTCCAAAAATTGTTGGTCGCTTGGCGTAACCTTGGCGCACTGCCACTCCAACATCCAATCCCAGACCTTGAAGATTAATCACGGGGACTGTAGTCCTAAACGATAGCTGGGGATTATGGGTAGTGTAGTGTCTTCGGCCAACCTAAACTCAAAAATGTTGGCAATGATGCTCGAAATGTCCCTTACGTCTGTTTCCGGTTATTTTTATTTTGAAATTCAGTTCCTGACGAACGCCAAAAAAGCCCGAGATTATGGAATTAAACCAATAAATAAAAGCAAGGATACTTGTGTGTTATTAGTGAGTAAATAACAGTGTGTTATTTTGAAAAGAATAACAAATTAGAAGGAAAAAAAGATTTTAAAAATACGAGGCTCTGAGCCCCATTTATTTTCCTCAGAGACGGCAACACTAAAGGTCTAAAATAAAGATCTAAATGAATATTTGGGATGTTCTTGCCTTTAGATTCTCCCAATAAGTCCAAGTACAGAGGGTGACTTTGTTGTGAAAAAACACATTTCCACCAAAAAAACGTCAGCAACCATGAATGTGTACACATTCATGAAGTAATCTTCGTCATAACTAGCAAACTAAACATCATGTACATCTACTGCACAAATCATCAGAAATAAAAACTCATTACTCGCATAAAATGACATCAAAACGCATTTTAATGGCCAAATGAACCTTAAAATAGGCCTTTTCCACCGAGAATAACACGAAGGTCGGCCATTGTTGTTGATCACGTGGTCTGGGAGCTGTTGCAGCGTCCATAGCAACCACCTTAGCAACCATGAATGTGTACACATTCATGAAGTAATCTTCGTCATAACTAGCAAACTAAACATCATGTAAATCTACTGCACAAATAATCAGAAATAACAACTCATATTAATCGCATAAAATGACATCAAAACGCATTTTAATGGCCAAATGAACCTTAAATGTAGGCATTTTCCACCGAGAATAACACGAAGGTCGGCCATTGTTGTTGATCACGTGGTCTATGAAGGTCTATGGGACGCCCTGCCCGTAGAAGCCTGACGGTCAAGGGGTCCGCTGTGAACAATGTGGATTATCTTCGACAGCACACATTTAAAAGTTAATTTTTAAGACTTGACATGTATCACTTCGTTGCTAACTAGCCGCTGGGGAATGTTTTAAAACCAATTATCTGCTTAAAACAATCCGATTTGTGTTGGAGTCGGTGGCTAACAGCTAGCTTGTCAGGCTAACTGCTAGCTTGAAGACCGAATAACGTTTCTATTTTAGCTAACAGTGTGTCTTTTTGCGGTAAATGATGGTACCTGGGCTAAAACGGGGTTTTAAGAACTATATAGAGGATTTACAAACATGGAACAAGCAGGACAACAAGGAGAAACTGAGCAAAGTCACATGATACACAATAACAGCCGAGAGTCGCATCTACTTCTGACCCATGGGAGCTTATTTCGGAAAAGTTTGTATTGTAGTCAATGGGGAGAGAAAGATTATCTTTCGATGCCGTTTGAATTGTGCCACGAATTACACATATGATGTTTGTCAATCTTAAAAAATCATTTCCACGTCAAAAAAAGTCATAGTTTGTCGTAAAACTGTTGAAATATAAGACTATGAAAAATACGCAACTAGAAAGACTACAAATCCCAGAGTCCCGGTCCCGCATGCTGGCTCTCACGGAACCGACTAACTCCCCTTGTGTGTATGCACAGCTATCAACACGCCCAGACTTGGAGTGATTTTCACCTCTTTTAATACTTTCCGCCTCATTCTGAAAGAAAGAAGTGAAATGTTTTCAACGTGACAGCCGTCTTGGTGTGTGGTGCGAGACGGGAGATGTAGTTCATTGAGCTGCCCCCCCTTGCCCCCCCGTAGATCCGCCCCTGCCTGAGACACAGTGTCTCCTTGGGGCTTAACAGGTTACAAAAATATATTTAAAAAAATTAAAAAAATTAATTTTTAATTTTTAATAAACAAGGTAAATATTATATAATTGGTATTGTTACAGAATAATTCTCCTTTACTCCTAGATATGTAACCTTTTGCCCTTTGACGTTTATGACCAACCCTGATGTCTGTTATCTCCCTTACGGAATGGGCTGCCTGAGCCATATGTTGTTGTTCCCAGTTTATCACCGGGCAACTCTCGGTCATAAATGGTTTATGGTTGTGAGAACGCTGGAACACTTCCTTCTCGGTGTTTGTGGACTCCAAGGTGTAATCTTCGAGGCCATGAGGGTCAGACAAGTGATTCAGTGTCCCCAGATGTTTAGGCTATCTCTAGTGTTCCCAGATGTTTAGTTTATCTCCCTCACTATGTTGATTACTCTCTGTGAACCTATTAAAAGTTCTAGCAAAAGAGAGGCGCTTCAGAATTGATGTGGCAACTCTCCCGTGCAGTCAGATCCGTGACTGCTGTGACTTGTGATGTGAATCCTCCGGCCGATACTCCTAAATAAACCATCAGTGTTTGACATCAAAACTCCTGCTCATCCCGTGTCTCCTTCATGAGTCGGTGACTCCCACTGCAATGCTACACAGAAGTTTCCCCGACAGGTATCAGTCAAATGTATAATCTACAATAAAATATCGTTTAAAATTGTGTTACGATGTCTAAAGTTACTGATAAGTGATAAGTCACATGTTTCCTGCCTGGCCTTGCCCGTGTATCATTACCTTCTCTCGTCTGGGCGCTATGCACAGCGCCCAGACGAGAGTGCAGCAGAAGGCAACTGTTGCTATCTTTAAACTATGCCGGCGAAACATTATTTCAGCCAATCAGCGTCGTCAAATCTGATGGTCACAGGGCCCGGTGCAGTCTGTGAGTTGTTTGGACTCGTATCCAAGGAGACAAAACAGGAAGCTGTCATTCACTCTGGAAGCTATCATTAGCAGCTAATAGGAAAACTATTGTGTCCATAAAAATGGAATTATGAATTAGCTACCTAAAGCTACGTCGTGTGTTGTCTGTATTTGCTTCCCCTGTTGCGAGTTCTGATCGCTCAGTGATGATACTTATATTTCTAGAATCTGTGGAATCTCAGCTTGTTAGCTAAGCTTGTGTGTGCATATCCAATAAGTATATCCATTAATTTATACCTAGAGTGAGTTTGCATTTTTTCGCTCAGGGCTCATTTAGACGCTTCTTGTGAGACTTGTGTTTTGTTTCGGTAAACATGGTTCATATAATCAGTTAGCTGAGTTTCTTCCCGTTAAATGAGTAGGACACATGAATAGTTTATTACATTTTAAGAAGCGCTGAGACACAGTTTCGTGAGAAAAAAACGGGGGAAAAAGCCCCTTAACAGGTTAAATGGGAATTAAATCATATTAAGTAATTTTGAGTGTTCCCAAAGCCCCGGTGTTCTGCAGTGTGTGTGGGCCTACTGTACTGTTGCACAGTTTATACTGTAGAAACTATGTCCAGGACAAGGTGTTTGGAAGTTTTGGAAGATTCATAGCTAACCACACTGAACATTATGGAGGTATTGATCAGTCTTCTCATATTTTTAAGCCTCAATTTGTCCTCCCCCCCCCCCCTCTAACATCACCAGAAGTTATAATTTAAGGGGTCTTTTCTCAATTTGTTTTACCGGGGGAGAATCCCCCCGGACCCCCCTAGTATTGTTTGATCACCATTTCCACAGCCCCACCTAAAATATTTTCCACCAGCCGCCACTGATTGAGGCTATACATTTACAGTGGAGGAAACAAGTATTTAACCCCCTTCAGATTTTGTAAGTTTACCAACTTATTTTTACAACTAAAAGCTCTTTTCAAAGGAAGAGCAGGTTGTAACCGAGGCTCTGTGTAGGTCAGAGTCTGAGCGCTGCTGCTCCTCCTGGAATGAGTCAGCGTTTGATAAGCCCTGCTCTCAGACACAGCCAGCTCCACTCTGTACTTCCTGGTTCCTCCCCTTCAGATCCAGGTGTAAAGTACAAGAGCTGATAGGCCACATTCACTGCTCACACACACACACACACACACATGCTGTTCAGATAACCTGTCACACTAGTTTCAGCTCTCAGGAAGTGAAGCTCAGACACTCGCTGCTACTGAGAGGTGAAATGGCGCAGAAAGGAGTTCAGCTGGACCGGGAAACCTTCTCTTGTCCCATCTGTCTGGATCTACTGAAGGATCCGGTGACGACTCCCTGTGGACACAGCTACTGCATGAAGTGTATTAAACAGCACTGGGATGGAGAGCTATTCCACAGCTGCCCTCAGTGCAGGCAGCGCTTCACACCGAGGCCTGTCCTGCTGAAGAACACCATGTTAGCAGCTTTAGTGGAGGAGCTGAAGAAGACTGGACCCCCAGCTGCTCCTGCTGATCTCTGCTATGCTGGAGCTGAAGATGTGGCCTGTGATGTCTGCACTGGGAGGAAGCTGAGAGCCTGTAAGTCCTGCCTCGTGTGTCTGGCCGCTTACTGTGACCAACACCTCCAGCCTCATTATGAATTGCCTGTCTTTAAAAAACACAAGCTGGTGGAGCCCTCCAAGAAGCTCCAGGAGAACATCTGCTCTCGTCACGACGAGGTGATGAAGCTGTTCTGCCGCACTGATCAGCAGAGTATCTGTTCTCTCTGCTCTATGGATGAACACAAAGGCCACGACACGGTGTCAGCTGCAGCAGAGAGGACTGAGAGGCAGAGAGAGCTGGAGGGGAGTCGACTCAACATCCAGCAGAGGATCCAGGATGGCGAGAAGGAGGTGAAGCTGCTTCAGCACGAGGTGCAGGCCGTCAATGGCTCTGCTGATAAAGCAGTGGAGGACAGTGAGAAGACGTTCACTGAGCTGATCCGTCTCATGGAGAAGAGAAGCTCTGATGTGAAGCAGCAGCTCAGATCCCAGCAGAAGAGAGAAGTGAGTCGAGTCAGAGAGCTCCAGGAGAAGCTGGAGCAGGAGATCAGGGAGCTGAAGGGGAGAGACGCTGAGCTGAAGCTGCTGCTGTCTCACACAGAGGATCACAACCAGTTCCTGCTCAGCTACCCCTCACTGTCAGCCCTCAGTGAAGCTACACACTCCTCCAGCATCAACCTCCGTCCTCTGAGCTACTTTGAGGACGTGACTGCGGCCCTGTCAGCAGTCAGAGACAAACTACAGGACGTCCTGAGAGAGGAATGGGTGGATGTTTTACTGTCAGCAGCAGAGCCCACCACCAGAGCTTGGTTCTTAAAATATTCACAGGAGATCACTCTGGATCCAAACACAGCAGAGACACATCTGTTATTATCTGAGGGGAGCAGAAAAGCAACATTCATGAACCAACAACAGTCTCATTCCAGTCACCCAGACAGATTCACTGGATGGTATCCTCAGGTCCTGAGTAGAGAGAGTCTGACTGGACGTAGTTACTGGGAGGTGGAGTGGAGAGGGGCAGGAGTTCGTGTTGCAGTCGCATACAAGAATATCAGCAGAGCAGGGACTGGATGTTTATTTGGACACAATGACAAATCTTGGTCCTTAGATTGTTTCCAACACAGGTATTCATTTCTTCACAACAGTATCAGCACTCCCGTCTCAGGTCCTCTGTCCTCCAGAGTAGGAGTGCACCTGGATCACAGAGCAGGTGTTCTGTCCTTCTACAGCGTCTCTGAAACCATGACTCTCCTCCACAGAGTGCAGACCACGTTCACTCAGCCGCTGCATGCTGGACTTTATCTTTATTATATTAATGGAGACACAGCTGAGTTTTGTAAACTCAAATAGCCTGAAGTCCTTGGAGGAACTCTTCTACTTCTTAAACTCACCGTGTGTCCATCAGAGCTGATTGTCCATGTCTTCACTGCAGAGATCAGCTGTCAATCAAACATGATGGGCGGGGCTTCAACATCTTCTCATCGAGTTGTTCTGTAGATGCTGGACTTTCTTCCGGCTCCTTCCTGTGTCTGTGTAGCATGGAGGCTGTCACTGCTCAGGAGGATCCTTGTTCACCTGTAAACTTTGCTCTAAATATGTGTTGGATATTTCTTTTGATTCTTGTTGTTGTTTCTCTTGAGTCTTCAGAGAGAAAGCAGCAGAGCTTCTTTTATTGTGCACATTTTATTCCACTTTCTAAAACAACAGAGACATTTATAATCACATGTATTATTCTGACAGATGAAATGATATCACTTCCTGTCATGATCATAATAATAAGTACATCATTTATTATTCTGCTGTAAATAACTTGAGTCTTTCATCGGGAAATAAATTGTATAATATTACAGTTATTGTTTTGTAGACTAATTGTTGTTGTTGTTGTTGTTGTTGTTGTTGTTGTTGTCCAAATAGAAAGTGGGTACTCTGATGTTTTATAGAACATAACTTATCAGGATAATAATCAATAAGGATATCATGTATGGTTCTGTTTGAAACAGCTGAGATGAAACACATGGTGTGGAGAAAGTGAAGCTGATCATGAAATCATTGAACAGACTTCACTGATGGGATGTGTGATCAAATTAAATGGATAATTAATAAAGGTTTGTCTTTCAAAAACAAAAAGGATGTTCTTCTTGTATTATGTCCAAGGTGCCGTACGAAGCTGATGGAGGTGATCTGAGACTTTGAAGCTCAGCGCAAGTTCAACCAGGAAGACCGTCTTTATTCATTCATTTACTATTTCCAAGTTACTACTCTCTCTCCTCTCAATAAGTGATCGGGGGCGTCACTCCCCAGCTTAACCAATCACTTCGCTCCATTCTCACAAGCTTATCATAGTGCCCCGGTAAACCTTTTAAATCTGCTCTCCCCTCTGACAGCTGTCATTTCAGGTGACTCGACGCAACCCCCCTCCACCCTTTCCACCTCCTGTCCCTCTGAATCCAGGGTCAAGTTAAGCCCCTCCCCTTCAGACCGACCCCGACCATCCATTCACCACCACACCAGGGTCAAGCTAAGCCCCTCCCCTTCAGACCGACCCCAACATACCAACCTCCCCTAATTCCTCCACACCAGGGTTTCAAGCTAAAGCCCCTCCCCCTTCAGACCGAACCAAACTATCCATTCACCCACCACCAGTGTCTAGACCCCGGGGGGTTTCATCGGATCGGTTCTCCCCTCCCAAATGATACTCCTGCACAATGGGGCCTAATCGCCAAAACTCCATTACATTCATTCGTGTATTCCTGGCAATAAATATGTATTCTTTCATCAAACCGTCTCTCATGATTGAATAACTGAGTTTCCTCCTGAAACAAAGCACAGTGTTCATCATCACTCAGTCTGTCCCCTCCCTCATGCTAGTGGGGCGCAGCGGCGAAACCGTGTCGCGCCCACACTAATTGCGCCGCATAAGCGCGCCGCATTTTCGGGTCAGTTGAGGCCCCCTCCGCAAGATGAGGCCCCACGCAGTCTGCATGATCGGCCTGGAGAGACGGCCCTGCTTATTAGCTGGCCCTAACGTGTAAAGTTATACAAGCATTTTGTACCAGTGCTTTTCACAAGTAGACTCTTGCAGGCCAGAGTAGCTGGAGTGAGTCAAGAAGAAGAAGAAGAAGAAGAAGATTCAACTTATTGTCATTACGTAGTACAGGCACTATGTGTGGATGATGTGTTCAAAGCTAAATGTGAATGCAAAAGTCTTAAAGATACTGTTACAGCAGAATTGCACTAGTTCCAGATAACTGTTATGTTGAATGCAGTATAACAGCCAAATGTTTAAAGCTATTAAAAAGAAAAGGGCAATGTGATATTCATGTGAATGTATTGTGCTCTCAGTATAACTGCGCCCCCTGCTGTCTACACAGGAGATAGATACACTAGCAGTGATGAAGTGCACAGTAAGCATGTATAACGTGTGTGAGCCAGCACTGGTTAATAAACCCTGTTAACGTTAAGTGATCAGGACGGACAAAAAGAGGAAAAGGAAAAGAGAGTTCACTGAACATGGTTTACAAACATGGAACAAGCAGGAAAACAAGGAGAAACTGAGCTAATATTGCTAATGCTACCCCAACTGACATTAAACGGAAATCAGGTATGTTCAAATTCAAATATTTATCACCTGTTTTAAACTGTGTGTTATTTTCATGTTTTCAATCTGTCTAAAGTAGGTGATTTCCACAATCGTTTCCAAATTATTTTATATTTACAAGCTCAAAAGTCAAAGTCACATGATACACAATAACAGCCGAGAGGCAAAGTCCCGTCCATCTACTTCCGGTCCATGGGACCTTATTTCTGAAAAGTATGTATTGTAGTCAATGGGGAGATAAAGATTATCTTTCGATCCCGTTGAATTGTGCCACGAATTACACAATATGATGTTTGTCAATCTTAAAAAATCATTTCCACGTCAAAAAAAGTCACATTTTGTCGTAAAAACTGTGAAATATAAGACTATGAAAAATACGCAACTAGAAAGACTACAAATCCCAGAGTCCCGGTCCCGCATGCTGGCTCTCACGGAACCGACTAACTCCCCTTGTGTGTATGCACAGCTCTCAACGTGCCCAGACTTGGCAGTGATTTTCAGCTCGTTTAATACTTTCCGCCTCGTTCTGAAAGAAAGAAGTGAAATGTTCACGTGACGGGCCGTCTGGGTGTGGTGGTGCGAGACGGGAGATGTAGTTCATTGAGTGGTTTCACACACAAAAAGTGTTACTTCACATTCTTTACGACACATTTTAATTGTGTTGACTTGCAAAATTATCTTTTAATTGACAACATCATATGTTGTAATTTGTGGCACAATTCAAACGAGATCAAAAGATAATCTTTCTCTCTCATCGACTTCAATACATACTTTTCAGACAATAAGGTCCCATGGAGGAAAGGGAGGACTTCGCCCTCTCTATCAATGTGCAGGGGTGGGGACGAATTGAAGTACATTAAATCACAGTGTACACATTTCACAGATGAATTTTCGTTATATAGCAAAATGTAACTTTTTTGCAGTAATACTTTTTACATTATACTATATTCAGTTGATTCAACAGCACCACAAACTGCAGCAGCCTTTACAATGAGTATGATGTTAATTGAACTCCCTTTTTTAAACAAACAAACTGTTGGTTTGAACAACTACAACAACCAAACAACAAGAACTGAGTATTACAACCTTCATAAAGACAAGCATTTGTGACAGGATTGTTGCAGGTTTCAGCTACGTGTTCCTAATACACTGGCTGTTTTTACATTGTAATAAGTAAGAATGCACACACATGTTCTATAAACAATACAAGTTGCTATTTGCATGTGTTTTGTTCCTAAACATCATTAATGCTGCACATCTGGCCCATGCTATTCAGTGTTCGCTTATTTACAGCTGCAGTTCACCCCAGTTAACCAATAGAGGACAGTGTTTAGTGTTGCTCTGTATTTCAGGGCTGATTCACACACTCCCCCCCCTGTGGTGATCCAGAGGCTCTGAGAATAACACACCTCAGACCTCTAGTGAACTGTTTTCACATGTTAACCTCTGGCAGAGCATTGTTCCACATGAGAGCTTTCCCACGGTGAAGTCAGTGGATTATTCAGACACTCACTGTGGGAGAAATCAGTTTAATGTGCACATTTACTGGATTTAATGGAATCAAAGATATCATTCCCTCTTGTACTGGGATGGAAGCAGAAGCCAGGTCTTGGGCAGTAGCTAAATACTTTTAATAAAGTACTTCACTTCAGTATTTCCATTTTCTACAACTTCAAACTTCTACACTACATTTTAGATGCACATATTGCACCATTTAACTCCACTAGTTGTATTTAATAACTTTTGTACTTTGCAAACCATCATTAATATTACAAAGTATAGTCAAATGAATGATGATGCATAGATTAAGATAATTACTTTGTGACTTCCTGTGTGAATTCCCAGATTTCTCCTCTACTCTGCATTTATTGAACTATTAAAAAAAAAAAAATTGTTTAATGTTTAAATTGCATTTAAATCATCAGAAAACATTAGGAATAAATACATAAAAAATTGATAATTAAATAAAATAGATAATAATAATAAAAGTAATTAACTAAAATCAATTCGACCTTTTTCCGCTTTAACGTTAAATAAAATTAACTATCTTCATTTTTTAAAAACAGATTTTTCGTACCCTGTAATGGCTTTGTACTCTAACCATGCTGTACGCAATCATGGCCTTTTATCTTTGTGTACCTTTTTGTATTATCGCTCTCCAGTGTACCTACAATACTTTTTATGAGTTTTTTAGTGGTTTCTAATTAACCTGGAATCCATTTATTGCACTGACCCTGCATTTTATTTAAATCTCTATCAAATATGCATGAATTAAAAAGAAAGAACACTAACTAGGTAAGAAGCCCCTGAGACCACAGTTTCGTGAGAAGAAAAGACCCGCAGGCCCCGGTACGGGGGCTCTCGGGCTTATACAGGTTCATGAGGATCACAGAACCTCTCCTTAGTCAGCAACCAAAGCTTGCTTTCACCTGTGAAACCTGTTCCTCCCCGGACTCTGGTCCTCTGCTCTGCGACTCTGATCTCTGAAGAGTCCTTCTTCTACTTTCTGCCACACTTTGTTTTTTGCAGCTGCCTTTGTTCAGTCTGGCTTTTAGTTCTTTAGTTGATTCAAATGTTAAGCAGCAAACCCCAAAGTTAGTCATTCTGCTGTGTGAAAGAGTTTGTTATTTGAAATGAGACCTTTACGTTGACTTGCTCTCCTTCTAAAGACTAGCGTTGGATCATTTCCCTCCAAATAGATCATGTTCAGCCTCTGATGTGATGATTTGACATGTGAAGCAGAGGAGAGAGCGGGAAGTGACCCATCAGATATCAATACCATATCCGCACCATCAGATAATGTTTCCAGAGAGACTCCACCCTCGCTTTACGCATTTGATATAATGCGAGGACAAAACACGAGATGCTCAGAATAAA